AAAAAATTGTGCTGAACACTGGAATTTGACACAACGTTGTAAAATGATTATAAATCAATAAAAAATGTTAAAAAAAATCTGTAATCCCTTTGGAACAGATCTTTGTTTATGGTATGAGGTAAGGGTCAAGTTTATTTTCTGTACATGAATATAAAATTAACTCAGCAATTTTCAATGGAGAGATCATGTTTTCTCCATTGGTCTATGGTTCCATATTTATTACAAATAGTGTCCATTTATGTAGTGTGTCTGTTTTGGACTCTATTATGCTTTAATTCCCCATTTTTCTAATTCTGGGCAAAAAACCCACATTATCATAATCACTGTAGCTTTGCAATAATTCTGATATTGAATAGGGTAAGACTTAAAACTTTATTTTTAAATTTTCATTATGAATTTTAGAACAACTAGTTAACACACACACACACACACACACCCCCAATCCACACAGAAATTCCGAAGTTTTGGTGGGACTGTACTGAACCATCTTGGGGAGACTATTTCATAATACTTCAAAGTACTGAATCAGTCAATCCATGAATATGGTTTATACCTCCATTTACTCAGGATTTCTGTAGTTTCAATGCTGTTTTATAGTTTTCAGAGTAGAGGTGCTTTATACCTTTATGAGGTTTACTCTTTGGTGTTTGGTTTTTCATGTATTTTAAATGGTAACACTTTAAATCTACTCTTCTAAGTGTTAGTGAAAAATATGAAAAATACTCTGTATGGTGATGTATCATAAGTCTTGCTAACTCCATTTTAATTTAAAAGTTTATTTGTTGATTTTTTTTGTATTCTATACAATCTATCAGGTTTTCTATAAGTAATAGTATTTATATTTCTTCTTTGCTTTCTGTTTATTCTGTGTGTGTGTTATTTTCCTTTGTGTGGTTACACTGGCTGGGTCCTTCTCTGCAATGATGAATAAAATTGGTTTTATAAAACTCATTAGGGAGTGTTCCTTATTTTCCTATTCTCAAAGAGTTTATGTGAAGTTGGAACCTATATATTAGAGATTAAAGCCAATTGTTCTGTCAGTTTTCTTCCTGTCTGTCTTCCCTTCTTCTGTCCTGCCCTTCCCTCTCTCCCTCCCTTTTTCATTCTTTTCTTCATTTTCCTTTCTTCTTTCTTCCTTCCTATTTTTATGTCTTTTAATTTTTGTCTTTTTAATCATATTTATTGTTGGATAATTTTAAAATAAATTTTTGTACTAACATTTACTATTTTGTTTCATTTTTCTCCTTTCTGGGGAGTTCTTAACGTTTTTTTCCCCTAAATTCTAGAGATAGATACTTAAATAATTTGTTTTCAGACTTTTTATTTCCTAATATATGCATTTTCTACTAAAATGTTCTCTGTAAGCCCAGTTTTAGCTTTATCTCCAAATTTTTTATTTGTTGAAGAAGAAATGGCAAGGAGAAGAGAACGCAGACTTTATGACAGAAAAGAAACACATAAAATGGTGAGACTTCACTTGTGGAGGGTGAAAGTGAGGTAAGGTATATAATGAACCTGCCAGGTGCTGATCAGAGTGCATAATTAATACATAAATACATCAGTGTACACAATTAATGTTACAGTTCTACTAATTTATCATCTCTATGTACCACTGTCTGTTCAATTTTACTACGACTTTTGGGAAAATTTAACAAAGTAAAAAATTAATATTTACAGTAAGCTCAGAAATGCTACTATGCTCTTAAACTCAATGAGCTACATACACATCACCTTGAGATGTAAATTTTTCTACGAGATATAAAATAAGGCACAAAAAATATCTTTCCTTCAGTGCATTATTTTATACTCTTTCTCCAATTTTGTCCTCCCTTCATATATCTTATATCTTATGTTAGAGGATTTTTTGTGAGGGGATAAAAGGGAGTGTATTTAGAAACTGGATATTGTCAGGAGAGACAAGAAGTCACTAAATTTTACTACCAATTCTGTCTTCTACTTTGAGCTCTTGAGATCCTGTTATCTTCATTATCTTCTCTTGAGGACTTAAGGATTTGAGCCTGTACTAGAATCACAGAATCCATTTTAAGTCCAACAATACTAGATCATAATACCAGACCTGCAGACTCCCTATGTATGAACTAGGACAGATGGGAAATTTACCTAGCATTAAGGGAGTGAAGACTACTACAAAGTAGTCCAAACTAACAACACAAGACTATAGCATTCCTTGAAGATTACCTCAAATCAGAAGAATAAAGGGAGAATGTTTTTCTCCAGGGCACAATGAATGTTCCTTAAAAGTGAATCTAATAAAACTTCCCAATTCCAGTTGACCATTCTTTAATCTTCCATATTTTAACTTTGACTAGCACAAATACTACTTTATAATCTCACACAAAACCTCTCTTCTCCCTTCCACTATCACACAGACCCCTTACTCCACCTATACAAACCACATACAATTCCTTCGTGTATCAGGCTATATATATTTAATTGACTTCACAGCGTTGTACCTTTGGCCTGGAAGGTTTTCACATTTTTATGTGTTACATATTCTTCTTAGTTCAAGTAATCACCTCCTTTAAGAATTCTTTAAGTCTCCAACATGATCTAGATATTTTCTTCAGTGTCCATATGGCCTCTTGGATATAATTATGTGACAATACTTCACCTCCATTGTTGTTATTATATATTTAATTTTATGTCCTTTCCAGTAGATTGCATGAACTATTTGAGAGGACAAGGATATTCTTACGTGATTTTGTATTAGTTACCACAACTAGGAAAAAGCCTAATGTTACTCAATAAAATATGGAAAGAAAGAAGGAAAAGAGGAAGGAAGGAAGACTATCTCTAGATCATTGCATGGTCAAACTGGCTAATCTGTGTTTGGAAACGGCTTGCAGAAAGCTTTACGGATTTGTTTGGTCTTCACACTATATATAATAGGGTTCAGCACTGGGGGAAATAGGAAATGGAGATTTGACATCAGTGTATGGATATACGGAGGAGCTTTATGCCCAAATCGATGTACCAAAGCCAGGATGACCCAGGGGATATAGAAGATGGCAACAGCACCAATGTGAGAGATGCAGGTGCCAAAAGCCTTTTGCCTCTCCTCTGGAGAGGCGACGCTGAGGGTGGACTTTATGATCAGCACATAGGAGAGTAAAATGCAGGGAATATCTACACCCGATGTCAGAATGAGAGCAACTAAGCCACAGATGCTGTTAACTTTGATACTTGAGCAAGAACACTTAATCACATCAGGGTGGTAGCAATAGGAGTGAGAAAGCATATTAGGACCACAGAAGGACAACCCCTTAAGGAGCAGGAGCAAGGGCATCAGGATGATCAGCATTCGTACAAAAATCACCACACCAGCTTTGATAATTCTAGAGTTGGTTAGAATCACAGCATACCTGAGGGGGTTGCAGATGGCAACAAAGCGGTCAAAAGCCATGGCCAAAAGCACAGAGGACTCCATGAGGGTGAATCCATGCAGGAAGAACATTTGCACAATGCAGGCATCTAGGCTGATGATCCTAGCATTGAACCAGAGGACACCCAGTGTTGTGGGAAGAGAGGAAATAGTGATGCCTATGTCAGTGGTGGAGAGCATGGAGAGGAAATAGTACATGGGCTCATGGAGGCTGGAGTCTGTGATCACTACATACAGAATGGTGCTGTTCCCCAAGAGGGCGATTGCACAAAGGCAGCAAAAAGGGATGGAAACCCAGATGTGAAAAGCTTCTAGCCCTGGAACTCCAGTCAGGAAGAAAGTTGGGGGAGTGGAATTACCAGTGGATAGCATGGTAGGCTGAATGAAATGGCACCCCTCTTCAGTAAGTTCCTGCAATGACACATTTCATTGGGTCAAAGCTACTCTCTGGCAGATATTTTGATAACTGGTTTAATTACTATACATCATATAGTCCTTATAGGGCTAGAGGTAGCTCTTATTTGTCATCTTCATTTTACACATAAGTTTCAGGTAGGTTACATTAATTCATTAAACAAGAGTAGAAGACAAGTCTTTTGATTCAAAGCTCTCACTCTTTCTACTATATCATGCTTGTCACATGTTATGAACAGCAGGGCTGAAAGTAAGATATTTGCCTTGGCTATGGAATATAAGGAAGGTGCTAAAAACTCAGCAATTGGGTAAAGAGCACTTTTAAGAAATACTTTAAAAAGTAAAAACCAATGCAAAAAGTCCATGACAAACAGAACACCGAAACTGTATATAATGATCAGAACTGTGCCAAACCACACTAGAGTCTAAGGGAAAATTAAAAATGTGCACTCCTCTATACATGTTTTTATGTATTTTTTAATATTTAATGTTCTCTAGAACAATCACATAATATGAAAAAATATTGAAAAAATTTTAAATCAATTGTGTTAAACCTTACAACATGATTTTAAGTGTAAACATTTGACTTATACCATAACAGAATTATTTTACCTCAGCTAAAGTTAATTAAAAATTATTTAGAATTCTCACATAGTCAAGTGAAAATTTCCAATATGGGAGTTTTCTCAATTGAAAAATGAGATAAGCAAAAAAGTAGATTTAAAAATATATTATTGATAAGTTTGCTTCCATTAAAACTAGGGGTTCATATTTTTTCTTTTGCCTCAGGCTGTAATATGACTTGGTGTGGCACTGGTCTTTATTTAAACTTTTGATGTTTTATTGATCATGGATTAAAAAATTTGATTAAAATATTGCATTAAAATATTACTTATCATATTACTGCAGGTTTTGATGTCCCCCTAAATTTTGCATTCCCCTCCCTGCAGCCTTGGCTTTTGGCAGTTGCTGTCCTTGGTGTGTCTCCTCATTCCAGCATGAATGAGGCCAAGAAGTATTTTCATGATTCTGAGTTTCAGGGGAAAGTTTCAATACTCATTTGTATTTTAAACTTCTAGAGAGTTGCTAAAGGACTTTTTTTTTCTCAAACACTCACTCCTATTTCCATCTTCTTTCCCGCTATTCCACAAAAGCTAGAAAGGCATAAAAGAGATAATCTTTCTCCTTCAAATTTCTACTCCAACTTTCCCCACTTCCCCACACCCTCTCCTCTTTTCTTCATTTCCTTACCCTGCTACTCCCTGGAGGAAGAAGTTACTTTGCCCTCACAGGACCCTATCAGAGAGACCAGAAGTGAAAACTCCCAAGCTGATGGAACTGCTTCCTGAGATGCTTGGTTGGGGAGATTACAATTTCAGCCTTTCCTGGACGAAGCAAAGAGCCATTCAAATGGCTTTTTCCCAGATGACTGACTTCTTAAGAGCAGAATCCTTGGCCCCAGTGGGGCCTCCTAACCCATCCCAGAGAAAATGCATGGATTTCCTTAGGCGCTTGATACACTTGAGGAAAACCCCATTACAGTAACATTCTTGTGCAGACATTAACCAGATCTTTCCTGCTGTGGATTACACCCTCTGAAGGAGAAAGGGAAAGAAGCAAAGTAACTGTAACTGAGTATTAACACAGGCGGGCACAGGGAGAGATTTATTACATACATGATCTAATGTTCCTGCTTTAGCCTCTCATTCTTTTCATGGTGCATTAAAAGAAAAAATCATTAATAGAAGGAAGTAAGCACTTAGTAAATATTTTTTCCATGAATTAAAGAAGGAGAAAAAGGGACGGAAAAAGGCCAGAGGAAATCATGAAAGCAAGTCTTTAATACATATAATTTGGGGGCATTTTCTGAAATAATCATAACTCATTTTTTAATAGCCACTATATGCTATATTTTATGACTTAATTAATTCATCCATTTGTGCCTGTTTTAGTTGACAAATTTAATGTAGTATGAATGGTAGATATTTACTATGTGCTGCCCTGTTCTGACAGCAAGGCCTAAGAATGAGGAAAACAGACACATCAAATTTACTTAATCCAACTTTTGTTTCAGTATGTTGAGATGGGGAGATTATCCTGGATTATCCAGATGGACCCAGTGTAATCAATCACAAGGGTTCTTGTAAGAAAGAGGCAGGCAGGTCAGAGCTGGAGTAGGACATGACTATGGAAGGAGAGACTGGAGATTTGTAAGGAAGAGGACACAAGCTAAGAAATGCAGACAACTTCTAGAAATTGGAAAAGGAGGGGAAGCAGATTTTCCCCTACAGCCTCCAGAAGAACTAAGACTCTGCTGAAATCTTTTTTTTTAATCCCAAAGGATTAATTTTAGACCTTAACCTCCAAAACTGTAAGATAATACATTTGTGTTGTTTTAAGCCACAGAATTTATACTAATGTATGGTAATTTGTTAAGCAGTGAGAGGATGCTAATTCAGAACCCACCCACAGCCAGCAAGAGGTCTCAGGCGTGTAGTCCAGGCCACTGTGGATCCTTCAGCCCAGGTAGATGCCAGCAGAGCATGAGCGTGAATCATCTCCACTGATGCCAGTCACCCACTGACCACTGACTTCTTGACCCAAAGAATCATAAGCAATAATACAATTTTTTTTTAGCTCTTGGGTTTTGAAAAGGTTTGTTTTCCAGCATTGGATAACTGAGATACATCTTTTGCCCTCACTCTTATGTGTCATATCTCTGTTACTCTGAAGGTAACCAAGTGCCCTTTCTGCTGCTGGCAAACTACACTGCTTTGAGCACCTAAAACTCAGATGTCTCCTTTTTTAACCATCTTTTCCTGACACTTTTCCTGATGCTAATTGGAGATCAGGCTTAAAACACCAAGAAAGAATGCACTATATGATTTATTTAAAAATGTAACATTTGTTAAGAGTTTTATATACTTTACAAAGTATTTTTCATATTTAATTATATCAGTTAATCCACAAAATAATCCTATACAATTTGTTTATAATTATCATTCTCATTTAACAGATGAGGACACAGACAAGGACACTGAAGTCCAAGTGTGTTAAAGCAATATGCTCAAGTTTATACAGCTGGTAAACTGTAAAGCTTGAATTTAATATGAAATGTTTTCCACTTAGTCATTGCTCCTTATCACATTCAATGGAGTGCACACTTCAAAGGAATAGCAACAAATATAAACAATATAATTTTCCTTTTTTGCTGTCACTTCATTAGTTCATTTTGAAAGTACAACCATTTTGAAATCTTGACAGATTAATATTTAAATCTTAACTCTGTCATCACTAGTTATGTGACATTGGGCATGTTACTTGTCTCAATAATAAAATATGAATAATAATATGACTATTATGAAGATTAAGACAAAGTCTGTACAACATTTTAACACAGTGCTTGACCCATGGATGATGTTCAATGAATGGGGGACTTATCTGGGTAGAACTTTCTAAAAACTGATATTTTTGTCATTACACTTGAAGTATTTAAAATATTTTAGTTGTGGCTTAAATAGAATTATATATATATGTGTGTGTGTGTATGTGTGTGTGTATATACTGTTTAATATGGTCTGACACACAGTAAAACTAAAAAAAGAAATGTCAATTGTTCTTATTGCTAGTTTGAAAAAAGAAACAAGAAGAACTGAATTTTCTGGTTTCTTTACTCCTTTCATTTTTTTATCTCCTTCTCCTAGAAGACAGGAACTTTTAAAAACATAATACACCCAGATTTATGGTATGAGGAACTGTCAAAATGAGTAAGCAAGGATTTGTTCATCTTGTAGATATTCTACCCAAGTTCACTATTACTAGGGACTTTTAAATAGTTGATTCATTTTAAGGATCTACTCATACTCTTTAATTACTGAACCAGCCAGAACAAAGTATAATACTTGGGCTGATGGGATTGGGTAAAATATAAAGGAGGAAAAAAAACTATAATATGAAGATACTCTTCAAAATCTATTTGGCCTCATGAGCTGAAAGGTCACTCAATAGGGAAATATGCAGTATTTTGTACCATTCTTTGGACTTAGTGTGTATTTCTGATTAACTAACAGATTTTTTTTCTTTCTGATAATACTTTACCTGTTTTTGAAATTCAGACTTTTCAAATTATCAGTTGTATGTCATCATCAGCCAGATTACATGATTTTAATTAGCATTTTGATGATTATCGTTATAAATCAGGAATAACTGTGTATAACATCTCCAATTCCCTTAACAAATATTTTCCTTTCAAATTCTGCAAATAGAATGTGACTTTAAACTAAACAAAGAGCCTCATGAGATGGCAAATGAACCAGGAGATAATCATACTAATGTACAAGAAAGAGTTTTTAGAAGTTTACTCAAAATTTCAAAATCATTCCCTGCTCCCTTGGGATTTGCTTTCTCAATGGTTTAGTTTCCTTTACCTTCTAACAGATCCGTTCAGGGACATGTATCTGGATCAATGGCTCCAGTTCATTCGGGAGGTGCTAGGGATTCACCTGGGAAAACTGTATTAAGAATGACAACTTCCTGCTACGTGGCAATAAAGTGTTTTAATTACTTTTCTCAAAGCTTCTCCCTGATCCTCATGGACCTGAGGGAATGGAACAAGGCTCCTTGGGATTCAACAGAGAGCCCTAGCCTGAGAATCACTCATATTTCCTCTCCCTGCTTGGGCAAGTATGGAAGTGCCAGGCTGTATTAGTCTCCAGGACAGGTAAGGCACAGTCAGAGCTGCAGATCCAAGCTCCTGGAAAGATGACAGCTGAGACTCAAAAAAGATGAAGGCAGATTGGGATTCTGTCTGCATTCTGGATCTGACTCCAACAGGAGAGACAGTTGTTTGCACAATTCAGAACATAATGCCAATGCTCCTTCCAAAATCTTAGGGGTCCTGCCTGGCTCCTGCCTCTGACTCTCATCACTGATGACAATTAAATGAGCTGGACTTGAGAGTAGCTCAAGGGATTCCTTAAGCAGGATAACATTATCTCAATCCCTGTTCCCTCTCAGTTTTCCCATCAATGCAAGGCAGTAAGACCTAACTGACAGAAAACTGTTGTGAAATAGATGAGACAGTAACATGAGTGTAGAAAGTATCTTAGAAGCCAAATCTATGAGGGCTACTGTCTTCCCCCCGACCTCAATCTGGCTCTACAGATGGAGAGA